GGCTACAGGGCTCAATTCAATTAATCGCCGTCGTCAGCTAGAAAAATACAGCAAAGCTGAAAATCGGTCAGTACCGGCATGGGTCAGCCAATGGCAACGAACCACCCAGTAGTACATCTAGATAAAAATTTGGGAATCATGAGAAAAAGGCTGATTCTCGATCGGCCCCAAGTTCAAAGGCACAATCGACCCCCCAGGTATTGTGAAAGCCGGATGGAAGAGACCGTTCGAACGTTGGATTGCGGTACCCCGATATATAGCCTTCCAGTCGTTTAATTAGGCCGGCATACGGTGAGAGATCCAACGAATAGCCGACTTCATTCAGCTTTGACGCAATTCTGGGATATGCCTTGAACGGCAAGAACGATGAAGGGGGGTGAATATGGCGTACGCTTCCAAGACCTCGATGTGCTCGGGGAACGGGACGACGGAGCCATTGGCCTCGTCCAGGCAGAATTCGGCCCACGCGGCGAAAGAAACCCATTGCGTGTGCGCCCTATGCACCAGCGGAGGCAAGTATCCAATGGCCTTCCCGAAAAGGCGGGCACCAAGAACCGCCATCTCGTGCGCCTGGTTGCGAAGTAAAAGCAGCCGCGCATGGGCGTGTTTGTTGGATCCCGCCGTGTTGTCTGCATTCACCCGCAGCTCCAGCTCGCGATAGAACGGAAGGAGAATATCCGTGAAACCAATTACAAGGCTAAAGCCGCACGCACGCGCCATCGAGTTGACAGTGCAATGGGCACCGTTGTAAAAGACGCCACTCATTGGGGGCGATGAAGTGAGAACCATGGTATCGACTGGTTCTAGGAGGATGGAGAGGATGCTCTGTAGGGCGGTAAGAGACGAAATATAAGATATGACAGCAGCTTCGGATAGTGGACGGAGGCGGGCATAGTCTGATCCGATTAATATTAGGAAAACTAAGGTAAAATCGTATTTAGGACAGTGGCGCACCTCCGGTTATAGTCTCATACAGCTGGCGAGCGAGAACAGTAACGTGAAATGCGTCTACATTTGTTTCATTAGAGAAATATGAACTGATTGCGTCGACGCTTACAAGGCTTCGTATATTGGAAAAGCGTAGGGATATCTCTCCGCCGAGATTTTTCGAGCAACGTCAGAAGCACCAGTAGTGAAGACGGCTCAGAACCATAAAGCAGGATCTGGTCATGCCTAGTCCTATGTTTAACTTGAACACAAAGTGGAAAGCAAGAAGCGTGGAACCATGGTACATAGAACTCGGTTTTCGATGCCTCGTATTGCCGATGGCTTCCGCCATCTGATAGATTATTACTATCAGCCAACCTTGACAAAATAAAAATTATATCTTACAAAATGCGCAGACCAATGAGGTCCATAGCGTTCAATATCGGATTCTTTCCAAGTGGAAGCGATGGGCCGCAGGTGTGATGCGAATGCGGAAGCCCAGGGGCGTGAGGGACCATGGAAGTCATCTGTCCATTAAATTTAAAAGGGGTCGAAGATTCGAAAAAAATGTTCTTACATAGTTCCAGATGACTCAGAATTAAGCAGGACGCAGCGTTCTCTCTTGAGACTTCCAGCATGATCTTGGCATCCCAAGCCGTTCTGAGCGCCTCTAAATGGAGTGCGCGACATACCGCCGCTCGCCTGGTGCCGCAGCCCCGCGCGTCCGCGTCTGAGAGAAAGAATTGCGTGTCGTTAAATGACTGCGGACGAGGGCCGGGTCCAAGGACAGCTTCATCGAAGGATATCAACGACGCGAAGGCAATGATACAGAGGACGAGAACCCGAGACGGAGGAGGCATTATATTTAGTTGAAATGAGGCTTCTTGTACGGCTGTCTTGATAGACATATCACCGAAAACCGGGTGCATGTACTCGGGCGTACGCACGAAACCTGCCCAGCAAGTTCTCGTCAGCTTCCTCATAGTCAAGAGGCACAGAGCGTACATTCGAAGAGGTGGCGAACAAGCTCTGGTCTGAGATCGGGACATTCGTGTGCGGATGCAGACATCAGATCCCATTGGCAGGTGGGTTGCGTGCGGAAAGGTATTGGTGGCGGTTCACATTGTGGAGGCAATTGAGTCATTGGGGCCAATGTGGGCGATACCTTCCGCTTCTTGACTCGGATAGTAGGCGTCGTGGTGCATCTGAACCAGCCTCTGAGCGGATATTCACCAAAAACTCCCCATGGACCTACAGGTTATTTTTCTCGATGCAACGAGGGCAAGGAAGACCGTTTGGCTGCGGATGACAGAGGACGCGCCGCGACCTGCAGTAATCGCATGCGGGTGGTTTTTTTTCGTTTCATATCGCTAATAGCGGTGTTTGGAATGATCGCTGTACGAAGCATAGAGGTGGACGGGCTCTGAGGTATGTGGTCGTGAAGAAAGAAAGAGAAATTACGAATCTGTTTTTGATCTATTGGTGTGATCCAGTGGGCGCCTAGTATCTGGGAACGGGACTGGAAGTCCGTGATTTGCCCCAAGTGTCATTGGGTTGCCGCCGGCTTAAAATCGAATGACACAACATTGAGTATCCCTGTTCTTTTTTGGGGGGCCTTTAGGACAAGGAGGACATCAAAATTCTCGAAAATGTTCCTGTTACTCACCGATTCACTCGCTAGCAAAGAACTCCCAAAGTTTGATAGCCCATCGGAATATAAGAAGGACCAAATCGGGACGGTGATCGTCGCACAGTGGCACAGCCCCATGATGCGTCATTATCGGCAGACTCGCCGTTCTCGGTCCGACTTTCACGGATGACCGCCGATTGCACAGCGACTGAAACTCTGCACTACCAAGAAGACGCACATTGTTGGAGAGGTCTTAATCTGACACCCCTAGCGGACCTGGTGGCAGGCTCGCTGTGCTCGAGCCACTGGCAAGGCGTACAGTGAAGATGATGAGAAAACAGCACTCAACGTTTCTTCCTCATAACCGTCCACGTATCTCTTAGCTCAACGACACGAGCGCCACGACACCCGCTACGACTACCACCTTTCTCATGCTTTCGTGCCTACGCTCCCCCCTATTCCTCCGACTTCTTCTCCTTGTTGTTGTACGCAGTTCTCCGAGTCTACGCGGACCGTCTCCCCTTGTGTCGGGCGGCGACGGGTACGAGCCTTTACTATACGCGATACGCACACACGCAGCCATCACTGCGACCCCCACCCCACGAATCACACGTCGCCCCCTCAGCCCCTTCCACCCATCGCTCGCGTATAATCACGTCTATCCCATCTCTATCCTTCGGCATACATAAATAGGAATCTACTTCCACGGCTTCTCCTCTGGATTTATGAGTCATATCTCTCCCTCTTTCCATTGGAGTTCAAAATTATTCGGTGGGTGGGCCTTCTTGAGGTGATCACGGCCCGTCATTCCGAGTAGTTAGACATTGTATTGTCGTATTACTGAGTTTCGGCTGCTTGTTTCATAATATGAAACTCTCGTGGTATGAAATTCATACTACGAGGGTGCGCAGAGCGCTTCGACTTCCACACGCCTCGGCATCAACTCGGCACTGGGCAGGGGAATGGGGACAATTCAACGTCCTGATTGCGAATACGAATCTGAATGTCAAGCTGCAGTTTTATCAGAGGCCGTAGCTATAGCCAAACATCTAAGTCGCCTTCAGCTGGTGCTTCAGGGAACGAGACTGAAACTCACCTGAACTGTGCCAAAGACTGCGCTCCGTTTCCTATGCCAGAACAGCCACCGAAATGCGTGCTTAAATCGCGGAAATTGACCTAGAGACGAGTGCATCAGAAAAATGACAAAACACTTGCGCACTTGTGCACTTGTTTTTCTTGTTCCAAAAAAAAAGACTGCAGAAATGGGTCCTGGAAGTGAATGCGCACCTTTTTTTAAAAATGGGGAAAAAAATCACTTGTGGAAGATTACACAGTTTCGAACATAGCCTGTCTGCTTGTTAACTTGTGGTCTTTTTTTACCCCAAGCCCCAACAAGTTGTTAAAAGCGTCATGTCCCTCCAGTCCAGTCCAGACTTTCTGACTGCAGCTCCTCGCGGCAGTCGGTTCTTCTACTTCTGGACGCCGTCGTATATTCAGTCCTTACCATTCCACCCGACGTTACGGCCGTAATATTCATGCACTACCTCAGGAATTTTCCTGTCATCAGATATGGGAACGCGCTCAAGGAATACCCTCGACTACTTCTAGCCAGCGTCTGCAGATCCTGGCACGTGGTCGCACTGTCTGTGGGCTTCTCTCAGGCTGAGCCGGCACTCCAAAACGGTCATTCGCCGCGAGCAGCTGCTCCAGTGCTGGTTTCCCACGCGGGCGGCTGTCTCGTTGATCTGGGGATTTGATTTAACCCCATCCATGTGTGCCACAATTGCCTAATATGCGCCTCAATTGAGGAGCCTGGTGCTACGCACATCGTCGGGGAGCAAGTTGTTGCTCGCCTTACAGTGCAGTTTGACTTGGGATTCGATGATCCGGCCAGTATCACCTTGTTCAGTGACGCACCCCAGCATTGCGGAGTGTATATTTCTTCCCTAGAGTTTAGCGAGGAGTGGGCAGAGAGGTTCATAGAGCAGGAGGATTATTCGGCAATCGAGAAGGAGTATTCGCACATATTCAAATTCTTAGCCGCGGAACACTTCCTGCTCTCAAATCACTGAGCTTTGATCAATACCCACTACACATAGAAGCATCGTTGCTAGATTCGATGCTCGGGTCGACTTGCGAAGTTGATGGAGTCACCAGGCTCGAGTGTATTTGACCACCCCGAACGGCGTTACGACGGGGATCAATGCGTGATCTACGTTCTCTGGTTGCTTATGGTTAAACATTCACATTGAATGGGCAGCGAATGGACGCCCCCATCTAAATGTCGGTTCCGAATTGGTGAAGTTTCATTTCCTCCTTTGGGCTCCATCTCAAACTAAAGCTTCTTGATTTAATGTCCTGTGCTCAAAGGCACCGCAATTCACACTGAAAAAAAACTCTAATGCCGATTATAACTGGCGCAGGAAAAAAAAGTTCAAAACAATGATGCCACTGAGATTTGAACTCAGGCCCTCAGAGAGGAATAGATTTCTAATCTATCGCGTTAGACCACTCCGCCATAGCACCGACGACTCAGATGCAAGCAGCTAGAGGGTGGCAAACCACATCAGAGACAGGCCATAATGTAGGACAAAGAATTGTATTGTAGTATATGCCATTGTTATGTGGCATGTTAAATACATCGCAGTAAATGGGTGGAATATAACAGGTAAAACTCAAACTTTTTCTATAAAATCCCAACCATTGATCCTAGAGCCTGAAGGCCAACCATGTAATCAACGATGCCGGCCGCTGTGAGTAATCCTGGACTTGTTGGTCGTTCCAGTAGATCTTAAGTTTCTAGCCCTAACCCTAGGACGACAGTCGGATTTGAGCTGATGATAATGAAATTGCGCTAATGCCCATCTACATGAAGATTCGGGAAAACACTGGATCCTAAAAAAATTAGGTTCCCAGTAGCCAAATGTTGACTTATAAGACACTTAGAGTTTAACCTGATCATGAGACAGCGAGATTCATCGTGATTCAGAGCAGGTATGATAGATACTTAGACATGTTATTCTGGAAAGGGAGTTCATAAGAAGTAAATTTACTTTCACAACACCATCCAATAAATAAATACGATTTTTCAATTGGAATTATAGAAACAACAGGTTCTGAACTCAGACCAGAGCACCTTGCTTTGTCTGGTTATTCTTGTGAGATCGGCCGGTGCCAGCTAAATCCTCAGCAGTATCTTCCATTTTCTCTATGAGAGGTACATTGAGGAGAGTGAGCTGGTGAAGCTGCTCAGTCGAAATTTGCTGGTCAAGCTTGGCAAGCTTCACATCAACTTGAGCGACACCCTTGGCTTGTGAAGACCTTTCAAACAGAGGTCTAGCTGTTTTCCATAGTTCAACCGATTTTATTATCTGTCCCCGTCGCTCAAGTATGGTGGCAATTTGAACCATACAGTCTGCTTTCCAGCTATGAATACCCATAAGAGTAAATTCATCCAGAGCAACAGTGAAGAGGTTGAGAGCACTTTCATCATCTTTCTCAACAACAAAGGCCAATACAGTATAAAGCCTTCACTGTCGCCAGTTTCTCCTTGCTCTTCAATGCCAGGGCTAAATATATTCCTGCCCATCTCTGTGTAGCATGGATAGTGTTCATTTCGGTAGAAAGATCGGCGATTTTTTCAAGGCACATCAATGCCTCTTGCACATTTATATCTCTGCATGATGCAAATGCTTGTGCCAGCATCATATTGGCAGTATTGCAGTCACCATCCCGCAGAGCGAGGTATGCATATCTCTGATCAGCCAACAGGCCAACTAGTGTCTTGAGAAACCCGTGTAATTTGCTAATGTGGAGCTTGCAGTTGTCTAGAATCTGGTGAACCTGTTTTGAGTCTACACCAGTGCAAATATCAATGAGAGCAATGTTCAGCTTGGCCAGAACCTGCTAATGCACTGTTGATCGTTGGATGGATGATGCAAGGGCAACCTGCATTTCACGAGATTCCTTGTACTCTGTTTTTAACAGGTGTATCTCTGCAGCATGATTTCTGATACTCAGGGCCAATGATCCACCCTGTAGACCACAACAGCTCAAGAAATGGAGAGCATGCTCAAGAAGAAGCTGAGCTGATCGATAGCTGGATGACATCAGTTGGCATCTCCCTTGTACATAGAGAGCTGTGGCTTGTGCATGTATATCTCCAAGGTACTCAGCATAATCCTGAGCCTTTTTTGCATATTCCAACGCTCCCAGAATGCTCCCTATCAAGGGCATTATTTGAGCTATAGAACATAAGGCCTGTCGACCAACTGTGGTTGGTGACCCAGTACTGTCCGCCAATACCACGCTGTTTTGGAGATACTCCAAAGCATTGGGTACATCGGATTCTTGGTAGAAAGAATAACATCCAAGAGCATGATACCATTTGGCTGATGTGAATTCAGCTTTGGGCAGTATAAACAAGAATGAAAGTCAAAATCACCTTGTTCCAGTGGAGGTTCATTCATGAAGTATTGATTTCCCTTTGTAATCTTGCTTTCGAGCCCCCTTGACGAGGATATGTGTTGAAGCACCCAATACAAAGACAATATCTAGGCTGGGACCCAAGTCTTCGTTTTCTCAGCGCCTTGGAGAGAATGAAGGGAAGGACAGGAAACTTTCGGTCATGACTCATATTTTGTCAACACCTCGGGTCCATGGAATTGGCCGCCTCGTGTCAACATATCGGATAACGTGATTCAGTCAATTTTCTTCCTCTCCCTTTCGTCTCCCCTGATGCATCCAGATTTGCACCTCAGCAACCTGGCACAACTGCCGTTGCCAGCTCGCGTGATATGCGCCCCTTTGTCATCGTTTCCTGGCTGACGATGTATTCATAATCTAGCGGATCGCGAGTGCTGCGTGCGCTCCAAATCATTCTGTAGAGGATGTAGAACGATTCCTTGGGGCGGTGTGCAAGGTTCCCCACTCGAAAAAGAACTACTTGCTCCCGGCATTATACACCCTCCTGGATCCAAAGGGAATCCCTTTCGTTGAAGCACTCGACACACCCCTGGGCCTGACTGAGACCTCTGTTCACCAGATCGGGGATGTACTGAGGGCCGTGTATGATATCCACTTTCCCCGCCATCTGGGTCCGGATATCTGGCCACGAGCATTCAGTTGGGTCCGTTTCCTCCACACGTACAGAGAGCAGCTCCCAGGAATATTCCTCGACGAGTCTAGCTTCTGCCCACACTTTCTTTACTTTGTGGGGTACCTGTACGACCAGCAAGGGGCGACCGCGTACATGATCGCGGAGCCTGGACTCTACTATCTCATCGGCAGAGCATGGAAATATGTCCTCGACACCCCGGAGAAACGGCTGCGCGAGACGCTATTTCGTGCCCTCTCTATCCTTTTGGCCGACTTGATAAATGCCAAATGGGCAGCGTTCGAAGAGCTTGTTGATGGTATGGATGGGCGGGATCAGTTAATTCTTCTTCAAGTTCAGTACATTTCCTATGTCCTGGATAACCATGAAGCACGTTTGTCAGAACGCGATATCTATTGTCTCGATGTTATCCTCTTTCTTGCGGTGTATGTGGACCACACGCCCTTTTACGAGGCTCTCCGTGATCGCGGTGTTGTCCCCCTCCTCGCCAGAGCCGCATCTGCCCTCGCAGAAACTCCCAGTGGAAGAGCTCGAATGCCCCTCAAGTACTGCTTCGATATCTTGGGCCGGATATTCAGCGCTGCGTCTGGCCACAATTGGATTCCATCCGCCGTCGAGAACGGCTTGTTGCGTGCCATTGCGTCTTCTGCGCAACTGCATGATCGTCTCCATTCCGAGGCAGACTCGCTCGTCGAGCTGATATGTGTATCGTTGGTATACTATCGCATCCCCGCTGCGATCGACGCTGCGCTACGGGATATCGATGTCCTCGCCAGCAGTGCAGCGTTCAAGGCGTCGAAAATATACCAGAAGTGGCAGGAGTTGGTCGACTTGACGCAGAAGCGCCTCGCAGTTGTTAAAATGTTCGACTCCCCCGGATATGTGCCCCTCAAAGCATGCGATAATCTGGAGGTGAGCAACTGCGGACCCAAATTCGATGAAACTCCACCGATACAGGTTCCACAGTGCGCCATTATTTCCGACAAAACTCGTTTCCAACGCTGTTCGGGGTGTCTTTGTTTCTATTACTGCTCCCAAGAATGCCAGATCATCGACTGGCGCGCAGGTGGTCACCAGGAGGCTTGCAACACGTACGGCGCCCATTGCCTCAATAAGTTCCGCTCCTCTGCCTCGCACAGATCCACCACTCAGGACAATGCTAATCTCAAGACGACCGGCACCCACTCACCGTGCGCGAGCGAGACTTCCTCCGCGCACTGGTCCACCACGACTATTCTGCCGCTATATCCCGCCCCGGCCTCATAACGCGCTTCAACTACACCGGAGGGCCCCTCTGTATCGCGGTGAACAGCAAATTGGGCAAGCAGGATGTGGCGAATGCGGAATTGGTCCACACTTTTGCGCGTGCGGGACGGAGTGTTGGTAGGCTGGCGCCTCACGTCGTGCGAATCGCTGATGGAAAGGTCACGTACACCCTGTTGGTGCCGCTACGGAGGAGTCGGGCGGGCGTGGAGACACTAGTTTTGGCTGTGTGGCTATCCTCTGAGGAGGATGTGCATTTTTGAATGTGCATACGCGTCTGTATTCTTGATCATGGTTTTTGCTATTTTATAATTATATTGCCGCTGCTTCCAGAAAAAAAAAACAGACAAGGTTTTATCCGGCCATTCCGGGCGGTAAAAAAGAAAAGGCCCGATATCATCTATCAGTCGCCGCACAACTCTACTTACGCGAAGTGTGCGACCATATATCTCCGAGGAGCACCGGCAGAAAGTGCAGTAACTCCGAAGAAAACCCAAACATGAGCACGAATATCTCAGACGGTCGACCGATCCAGTAATATGCGCGGACCGGCAAAGCCGGTCCAGTTCGCCGGCTTCCACCGAACGTACGGTGAACTCCAGAGGACATGTCAGCCCATCCACTCATGTCCACTGTATCATTACGCATCCGGCAGACTCCACCGTATATTCCACATCCACTGGATATTGCTGAATTACTCCCCATATCATTAAATGCATGTAGTAATTACTTCATCAACAAGTTGATATCTGTTGGTATCCGCAGGAATTGAGGAAAAATACGTTAGATTCCAATTATAGATCCAGTGGACACAGCATATTCCAGTGTATTTTCAGTAAAACATGTAGCGGCTCAGACTGTACATCCACTGGTAACCAGTGTAATCGTCGAGTTCAGTGGATTTCAAGATCAATCCACTTGTCATCCGTTAACGTTGTCCACCGGTCTCCAGCGGATCTTTCTCAAAGTTCACTGGATTTTGCATATAAATCACTGAACTTGCTGAACAAATCCACTCGATCTCACTGGATATCCACCGGTTTCCAGTGGATTTTGCATAAAAATCCGACTTGAATGAAATAAAGCAATTGAAGCCATATGTAATCCAGCTATGAACCTGTGGCCAAAATCCAGTAGTATTGTCTTC